CCCTCAGTCTGCTTCAGGCACATTCCTTTCATTTCAGAGAACTGTAAGACCTGCCCCTCCCTGAAGTTTTTTGGATTAAGTACCAGGTATCAAAGTCACCCAAGGGGCTTAACCACCCATAGTTCAGCATGTTGACATTCTCCTAAACAGGACAGCAAAGTACCAGAAGGTGACACTGATCTTGTAATTTGTCACTCCAAATTCCAGCATACAACCTGTTACATTGGATCCAATAGCATTTTAGTGTGGAATGAATCTCTATGTTTATAACTTGTATTTCAGTACTTGTATTTATGTTGCTAAGGACCCTTTCAAGGACAATAATCACATCCTCTACTTCTTTAATTTCCCACAATTTCTTAAACAATTTTATGACACAAAATACTCAACAGCCATAAATGACTGACAGTTCCTCATGGCAAGTGGGACTCCTACACCTGGGAAAACGGAGGTGGCTCTTAAAGACATCATTCAACCCCATACTTTTACGTTCTGCTTAAACACCCCTGGAATGCTACGGCTTTGCGAATTTCAGCTACGAAACACCAAAGGTTCTAATGTCACTCATGATCAGTACTGGAACGTTACCTTATTTAATATATCAACTTTTATAAATGACAATAAGGTAATAAGTAATATAGGGTGTGTGCTGGATAGCTTTACTTATCAACTTCACACACTTGGGTTGAGGGAGCCTCAATCGGGAAATTCCCTCCATTGGACTGGACTGTGGCCATGTCTGTGGGGTATTTTCTTGATTTTTGAGTGATGTGGGAGGGCCCAGTCCACTGTGGGTGATGCCACCCTTAGGCAGGTGGGCCTGTGTTGCATAAGAAAGCAGGCTGGGCAGGGGCCAGGGGAGCAGGCCAGTGTTCCTTCATGGTCTGTGCTCCAGCTCCTGCCTCCAGGTTCCTGCCCCAAGTTCCTACCTTGGGCTCCCTGATGAACTGTGACCTGGGAAATGGGAGCTAAATAAACCTTTTCCTCCCCAGGCTAGTACTGGTCAGTGTTTTGTCACAGCAATCAAAGGCAGACTAGAACTGTAGGGTGTAAGCTACAAAGGCACAAAAAAATTTGTAACTGACAATTTACTAGCTTGATGCAATTCTTTTTAAGTCTATAGTGAAAAAAAAAAATCCCATTCAAGTGGACTCTTAGCTGCACACCTATAATCCTAGCACCTGGGAAGTGGAGGTAGGAGGATAGGGAAGTGAAGGTAGGATAGCCACGAGTTCAAGAACAGCCTGTTCTACTTAGTGAGACCTAAGCCCCCATATCCCAAAAAAGGGTGTGGGGGGAACCTCATGATCATGGTCTCATTGTGTAACAACAACAAAATCCTCCAGCCTACATATGTATTTATTTTAACTAGCTTTAAATTCTATTTGTAGGGCTAATTGAATAACTGGATTAGAAGGATGGGAGCTGATCCCTTTTGGTCAACCAGTATATAACTTGCCATCTGAATATGGAGGAAGACCTTGATCAAACCCCAAAGTGAGGCAACTAGCCTGAACTATGAGTCAGGACAACCATCTGTCAGTTTTTATGCATTTGTTTATTTAATTTTTAAAAATTTTAAACTTTTTATTTATTTTTGTCTTTTTGAGACAGGGTCTCCCTGTAGCCCCAGCTGGCCTGGAGCTCGCTATGTATACCAGGCTGGCCTTGAACTCACAGAGATCTGCTTGCCTCTGCCTCCTGAGTGCTGGGACTAAAGGCCATATGCCACTACACTGGCTTGTTCAATTTTAATTTTTTGGAGACAGGTATTGGCTTTGTAGCCCAGGTTGGCCTGGGATTCATGATCATCCTCTTGTCTTTACTTTCTAAGTGCTGGGATTAATTATAGGCACCTGATACCATTGCCTGCCTGCCTGCCTGCCTTTACTACCAAGAGCTGGGATTAAAAGGTCTGTACCACCACACTAGGCCTATCAGTTTTTATTAAGGCACCAGAAACCATTTGCCTCTAGTTTCATCCCCCACCCCCCAACAAATGGCAATAATCAGCTGGCAAAAGACTTAAGCCTGAAAATCATGCAGAAGGGTCGCTTACCTTATCCCTTTTTGGCCACTGTACTATAGGGACTCCAGTGAGAGCTAACTTGGGATCACTGCTGGCAAGCTCCTCCAGCAAAATCTAAGGGTCAGAGAAAAGGAGAAAACAACTGGGTAGGGTGAACTCAAAGCCAAGCATTACCAATGGTATCCAAAGCCAGACTTATTCCCCTCCAGTGAGTAACAAGGGAAGAGCAGACTAGCAACAATTTGCATTTTCCCTTCCGGTAGACTTGCTGCAAAACAAGCAAATCCAGAATGAACGAGAAAACTAGGCTGTTGATATCAAGACTTCAAACCTGGCTGGCATGGTGGTACAGGACTTTAATCCCAGCAGAGGCAGGCAGATCTCTGTGAGTTTCAGGCCAGCCAGGGATACAACAGTAAGACAAATCTTAAAAACTTCAGCTGGGCATGGTGGTGCATGCCTTTAATCCCAGCACTTGGGAGGCAGAGGCAGGCGGATCTCTGTGAGTTCAAGGCCAGCCTGGTCTACATAGTGAGTTCCAGGACAGCTGAGGCTACAGGGAGACCCTGTCTCAAAAGACCAAAAATAAATAAATAAATAAAAATAAAAAACGAAAACTTCAGTCACAAGTCAAGGACTCTCTTCAGAGGAGCTGTCAATGGCATGACTGCTGATACCTTGATTTTAGATTTTTGCTTACAGAATTAAATGAGTTTCTATTCTTTTTTTTGGTCTTTTTTGAGGCTGGGTCTCCCTGTAGCCCCAGCTGTCCTGGAACTCACTATGTAGGCCAGGCTGGCCTTGAACTCACAGAGATCCGCCTGCACCACCATGCCCAGCACGAGTTTCTATTCCTTTAAGTCATCCAGTGCCTAATACAGAAATTCTGAAGAGTTGTTATGGGCATGTTTCTTGAAGTTTTTGTTGTGATAAACATTGTTTCAAGTTTTACTTAAAAAAAATTAAAGACTTCAAACTTAGTTTTGCTCTTAGCAACTCACCTGTATATTTCTACTAACACACTGAAGCAACTAGTTATTATGGTGACAAAATGTTCCTTGCCACAAAGTTTTACATAAGACTTGGTTACCTCTTCACTTTTCTATACCAATAATTATTATCAGGTAATTTTGTGTTTATTTTGTAGTGTGAGCAAAGGGGCATCTAAATGAGTGGCTACCATTGTATAAGACAAATAACATTAACCTTAATGTCTGGGTTCAACAGACATTGCTTTAAGGGGGCAGGTAAACACACTGAGGATTGAACCCAGGACTTCACATATGCACATGCGAGGTTAGTGCTCTTCCACTGAGCTGTATATCCCCAATCTCACACAGACTTGTTTGTTCTAAGGCTGATTACAGAACTCTCTTCTTCCTCCTGCAGACGCATGCTCACATGGAACAGAGGCACTCACACACAGGGGCCAGATGGGCAGGCGGACGGACGATGGGGACACACACACACACACACAGAGGCACATAATATGCAAAAGAACACAGGAGTCATCCTGTGTATTTAGTACTATTCATGAGGAAGGAAGAGTCTTAGGGCCAATAGGTTTTTTTTTTTTTTTTGGTCTTTT